CCATTATCCCTATATTGCCCCAATATATACCCCATAATCCCCATATAACCCCTCTGTAGTTTCCATTTTCTTTTCCATTATCCCTAAATTACCCCAATATATACCCGAATATTACCCCAATTCTACTTGAGGGGGACTAAACCCTAAACCCTAAGCCCTAAACCCTAAATAGTAGTTTCCATTTTCTTTTCCATTATCCCTAAATTACCCCAATATAAACCCTAACATTCTATCTACTTAAGGGGGACTGTACTTTTTTGGAGAGTGAAGGCTTCCAACCGGCTCAGGCTCAGCTCCCAGCGTCTCGCTTACAGGATCGGAGGAGAAGTCCTTTCAAAGCAGCATCTGCAAGGAAGGTAATAGCCTTATATATTGGGGTATATTATGGTATATTATGGTATTTTCTGGGCATCTTATGGTATATCATGGTATATTGTGGTATATCATGGTATATTGTGGTATATTATGGTGTGTTACGGTATGTTATGGCATATTATGGTACTTTATGGTTTGCGGTATGTTATAGGAAAAATTGTGGTACATTATGGTATATTACAATATATTACAGCACAGGGCCTGGACAAAGAGGACACAGTTGGCATTTGCTGATGTGCAGATGGAATTTGTGAGGGGGTCAGCCGAGACATAGTACCAGCAACAGTTATACGTAGTTCAAGCATGAGACTCGTCCGTACTCATGAGACCGCAATCGGCGTACGGCGAAGCAATGAAGTAATGCAAAAGGCAACCTGCTTAGTAACCGCAAAAATGATCCCAATACAGCACAATGCTCAAAGAGATCGAACAGGTGTCATCCGAACGATCTCGTCAGTCCAACTACATCTGTATCCCGAAGCGCTGCAAACTTTTACTAAGCAGTTTGGGGCGGGGGGATCCATAAATAGGCAGCCTCAACATAGACCCCAACATATCACGATCCTTATGATAAGCCTGCCAAACAAAGCCTGAAGTTTCCCTTCTGTTGGTCCTCGTAGCGAACCAAGGCGAAGTCCTGCTAAACTGCAGTCCCTTCCCGAAGACTCCCACCGCCTAGTAAGAATAACTCTTCCAAATATGATATCATGATATAGTTTATGTTTGGGGGGTTGTGGGTGCTATATTATCAGGGGAGGGATTCGTGAAAGATAAGAATAGAGGGACTTTGGGAACCCCAACGCCCAGATCAGCACGCTATGACTATCAACTGTTTAATTTGGGTTTGAGGTTACTTGAAATTCGTTCCTAGATAGAGAGTAACCAGGAATCGACAAATGCTCGTCTTGCTTCCCGTGCAATTCCCAGAGTTTCGTGGGCACTTCCAAATGGCGTAACCAGAGGATACGAAAAGCTTGCTTCACTCTACAAGCTTCACTCTACAATTCCGAATATTGCGACTTCAGTCATATATTAACCTCGTCAAGGTTTCCCATATTTATGATGGGTGCGTACATGTTACTGTCATAGGCATAGGGTGGGGTCTACTCTTGCCACGCTCGGAGGCCATGCTACAGCCTCATCCCGAAATCAGGCCTAGAGAAACTTTAAGTAGGCCGGTCTGCTGTGGGATGGAGAAGGAGGTGTAGTGTCCGCGATTGATTATCCAGCAGATCCCCGTCAAAGAGTTTCAGAATGCTTGTGTAGTTGTACCGAGAGCCCATTTCGCAGGATCATCGATAAGATTCCTGCAAACACTTGTAGAACATGTAGAACTATGTGCTCGGTCCATTCTACTGTGAGAGGTCATCTTGTCAGTGCAGAATACCTCTTGTTCGCTTGCGACTAGAATCTGGAAGCTAGACTAACGGCAACCCCTTCCTAAAGCTCTGCAGTTGCGGCATGCTGCCGATGTTTTTGCAGCATATTGAAGTCCCCGTTCTGGGGGCCCCTGAAAATCAAGGACTACAACTTCAACAATCACTTCACATTTGTCAAAGCTCCACCCAATTCTAAATCAAAAGCAGCCAGAGCCCTGAAATCCTGGAAGACTGCTTTCAAACAAACCCCACCCTCATAATGAGCTGCGGGCAGCTCTGAAGAACTTAGTGGATTGTAGTATGGAATCCGAGGGATTAAGGAAGTCCTTGATCATGGATGCGCTTTGCTTTGTGCACTTTTTTTAGAGAGCGCGTTGTATACCAGAACTAGTGATGTCCTTCTTCCCTAGAGAATTTCATACTTTGCATTTTTACACAGGCATTTGTGTTGCAGAACAACTAGAAGGAGGGACCTGCTTAATTTCCTAGATCTTCGTCCCAGAAGGATTTCACACGGGAATGTGAATAAAGAATCTACTGAAAAAATCAAACCTGGCTAGTTAAACGATTTAGAACTGATTCAACCGTTCAGGAGCTCCTCTTGAAAATGAGTTGATTCTCGTATAGATATTAACAGGGGTCGCCTAACTCGTTCAATTACTGGATGTCCCGCCTCATATGAAAGTTTTTAGGCCAGTGCTGCTGTCGTGGTTGGTGGGTGGAGGCACGTTCTCCTTTTTGTGGGCAAGCAGCTGTTGGTTGGCCCCCCTATTTATGAATGGAGACGCCAATTTGTTGATTTACGCCTAATTCAAGCAACGAACATTGTCGATGCTTGTGTGCGTGTCTTTGCATCTGCCAATCTTGAAGGTTGTGTTTCGGGGTTGCTGCACCTTTCGAGATTCGACCCTGAGCCGCGGACCTGAGGGCACTGAAGGTACTCATCAACAATCAAAGCCCAGCGCTGAATGACGGCGTCGACGAAGCCGCTGTACCTCAAAACCGCAAAGCGCTGTATGTTGCCGGGATCTCGGGGCAGCGCTGCGGGAGCCCGCAGTTCTCAAAGCTAGGGAAGTTCAAGCCTCAAAGCAGTAAGTCATTTGTTGGCCTCGCCGGCTAATTGCTGACGAATACCGCAAACACAGCTGCTTTAGGCCCTAAAGAAAAGAAAGTACTTGAAACCCCTTCACATTGCGGTCCCAGGCCTCAGGCCGTGCAAAGCAGTGTCCAGATACTGCTGCTTCCCGCGAGTGAAGTGTTTCGGCAAGTGCCCCGGTTCCTAGGTACAGGGTTTAGGGTTTAGGGTGTGCAAGAGCTGTTTGCCGTAAGACTGTCCGCAAGGATAATCACAAGTGGCAACTTCAGGTGGTATTCCTCTGGCGCTTCTTGGGTGTTGCTCGCTGGCTTCGTCTTGCAAGATCTCAAATGGTGATGATAAATGTACCTCGAGAATTACAATGAACTCCACAGGGTGGATCCCCCGCTTGCCACTGACAACCTCAACTTTCTAGAAAAAGGGCCCGTTATGTGTTGGCATTACACAAAAGGCGCTCTGCGGCAAGTCATCGAACGTCGAACTAAGATCGCAAGTAGCGACTGCTGCAGGTGATAGGTCGTAAGCGTCATCATCCTGGCTGGAGTATGTGTCGAACGGAAGCATCAACGACTATGCTCGGTTTGAAGTTTCAAGGCGACCCTTGTAGACGAACCTTCTTGAAGCCAGAAAGTGCCCCCTCTCCCTCTGAGCTTATGGAAACTACTAATAATAACAGCCATAATAATAACAGTAATAGTAATACTAATAGCAGTAGTAATGATAATAAGCAACAGCATCGACCCTCCACTCTGAAGCGCTGCCTTGCGTCCCCCACGACATGCTTCCCCCCCCCCCGCCCCCCTGCAAGAAATTAAGCCAGGCTGATCCCGAGCGCCTGACCCATGAGAACATCTGGTCCTCCTCCGAAGTGACGTTAGTCTTTAGGCCTGGACAAATCGAAAAACTTGCAGATTCAGCATCTGGGATCCGGGAGTATGTGCAGATGACTGCTTATAGAGACCCTTCAATCAAGTCAAAGACGATAGCTACCCTGACCCATATTCTCCACTTCAAGAATAACAAAATTGCAGTTGTACAACTGAGCCCTGAACGATCCTAAACTCCGGAAAATTAATGTACCCGCTGAGCCGAGAGCCCATGTGGCTCAATATGGAGCAGGCAAAGTCGAAAGGGTTCCGCACCTCAACCGACATACGCACCAACAGAGGCTCTTATCGTCCGCTCGCCCCCCCTCCCCTCCCAAGCATCACATGATCATGACACCCAATATATCGTGGTTCTAAATTGGGGTAGGCATTATAGGGTTGAGGCTTCGGGGCCAGGCTCTGGTCAGGTGGCCCTACACACCTCAAACAGGACAGAACCGGCTTCCATGCGGCTAGACGGTTAGCTGCTAATACAGTAGGTAGAAGCTGCAGAAGAGAAAGCTCTCTTGCTGGTTCAGATTGTGCTTCGCCTAACATCCTGACTGGAGGGCTGTTTTTGGTTCACATGCTGGCTGCGGACACATGAGGACGTCTACACTGAACATATAGCTATGGCCTCGTGACTTGCAATCGCGCAAGGCAAATAACCTTTTTTTGTCCTGCTGTCGAGATACAACTGTACAGCTCGACACGACAAGAAACGCAGCACAGCGGCCATGCGCTCGTTGCAGTACAACTTTGGCGCATTTGGCCATCTAAAAGCACCTCCGCCCGCCCAATGATTAAATTACCCTCCGCCCGCATCCATCTGGCAAGCTGCTCGTAAGTCGCACTAATAGAAATACCATCTGTGGTACCAGGTATCATTATCGTCCTAAAAACTTATAACCTACATCTGAATTCAAAAACTACACTGTGTTGAAGTCTTACTTCGTAGAAAGGACCGCGCTACTCATCAGGGTCACACATGAGGGTTAATATTGCGGTCTAGTAGTCCACGCTCTTCTACAATATTGCTGGTGGACAAAGCGCAACCGCTGTGGGCACAACATGGTCTAAAGTAACATATACTGCAATGTTATACACAAACATGGAACAATAACAACAGCGGCACGCGAAATCATATATACTGGGTATTACATGATGTCATCTGTTTCTATGTTGAGTACCATTGCAATTCAACATAACATAGACCACCTAGACCGTCCACCTACCCTGGATCATTGGGGCCGAAGTACGCGCTATTAGGGCCATAGATCCCCAATTAAGGGTACCAGGAGGGTCCTGGTCATGTAGAAAGTGTTTGACAGCTCCAGTGGTCCAGAGATTCCTGCTGCTACTGTGGCAACCAGCGACAGCAAAAGATTATGCAAAGTGCAAGGATGATAAGAAACCCGGTTAGGCTTAGGGTCCTGGTTTACAAGGCAATAACACCCAGATTCAATTGTGGCTACAGACCATTCAAAGACACGTTGATTCTTACAAACATTCTCCATGCGCAGATTAAGATTGCGTGCTGACAGAACCCTGGAAGCATAAGCAGTCTTCCAGGCCCTGCGGGGTTGCCAAGTTTGTTGATGCTTTGCACTGACATCTAGGAAGCCCTCCAGTACGTTCGCAGCTTGCCCTAATTTTGGTTGGAGCCGGAATCCTTGCAGAAACTGAACTCATGTGCGAAGGTAGGCCACCAAGTACCTCGAACCGGTCAGCCAACCAACCGTATCCAGGCTGAATTTCATGGTGATGCACAGTGCGCTTAAACACCGCATGGCATGACAAAACGCAAGCTTGTGGAACTCAATAACGCAGTTCCCAAAGATGCTGAGGTTCTCTGGATAGATCCTGGACCCGTGGAAGACCATGAACTCGCGGTAGCGCGCCTTTCTGCGTGACTTGGACTCTTTAAGATGCGCAGTTGAGAGCATACTACGCCAAAGGACCCCCCGAAAAGGTTTGAGACAGAAGAGACTTCCACAGTCAGGAGCTTGACAAATTTGACATGGATTTCTCGGTTGAAGGTCTACGCAGTTCAGGGCCTCAGGGAGTCTAAGAAATTAAAGTTCTTGCATTGGATGCGCGGGTATGGGTTGCAAAGCAGTTTCTGCTGCCATCAGCATACTCTGTGCACCTTCCATGTTTTGCCCCAAAGCGGCTCACTCCCGAACCTCAAGTTTGAAAGTCTCTAGTTTCCAGGTCAAGTCTCCAGTCCCTGCCTGAGCTTTTCGTAGCCCCGGGTACTGAGAATGCGAGAAAGTCCTACTTGCCGCAAATTTAAGTGTAACACTGCAATTCTTAAACTGTTCGTTTATATCTTTCTTCAAATATTGGCCCCAGAAGCTCTAAGTGGAAGGATCCGGAAGAATCCTAAACCTGTGGGGACTGAACTAACCCCTGCCCGAACGGGAAACACGCTACCCCTTGACCGCTATATAAAAAGGAAGAGGAAGAGAGAGAGGGAGCAGAGGGACGCGCACGTACCCCAAGCCTTCACCGGCCCTGAAACCTGAAAGCCAGGCAGCAATGACTCCTCCCGTCTCAGCCAGCAAGCTATGGTGCAGCACCGGTGGACTGGAAGAGGGGATGGCAGCCAGCTCTCCTTGCCGATAACTCTTTTGCATAAGACCAATGAAACAAGCTTCATCATTAAAAAAGAGCACAGTACTTTGAGAGCCCGTGGCTGAAGGTCCAGGAGTCCAGGCCTGATGACGCAAGGTAAAAGCTAAAACACAATTTTGTAAAGCCTAACCTCAGTGGAATTCCGGTTCCGCCATGCAATTGTCAGCCGGCCTGCAAACCGCAACAGAGGTTTGTAGAACTGAGGGGGACCTATCAGCGTCACGAGGGAGGTAGGGTAGGAGTACCTCCAGAAACCAGGCATCATCTCACTGTCTAGAGCTTCCTCTTCTTCCTACTTTTGAAGATGTGAGACTTGGCCTATACTCCTGTTGGCAAAGCACAGTTATGTAGGAGCCCGCATTATCATAGGAAACCCACTACAGGAACCTGTATTATCATTCATGTAGGGAAATTTGAAATCCCCATGTCTGCTTTACGCATTCTTTGGTTTGCAACAAGACTCGCTTCTGCGAGGACCAGATACTGCGACCAGCGTTGTCGATGTCCTTGCTGCCATCCCTCCTTATATGCACAACGAATCCCATCTGACTCCATCTGGAGCTAGCCTGCTGGCTGCAAACTAACCGCTTTGCCCTTATATGATATCCGACCCTAGGGAGAATCCCCAGTTCCAGAAACTCGCTCAGACTACCTTTAAAGGGCCAAGGCGATCTTCAGAAAAAGCATCCCGATAATAATGAGTTAGGGGGGTTCTGAGGTCAGCCATTAGGGAAGTTTCTATGGGGCATCCAATTGAATTAGAGATCTCCTTGGTTTCTTGGGTTGTTGTTGCTTTAATTAGTCGTTATAAACGAATGCCTGAATCAAATGCCGATTGATTTTACGGAGATGTTAATGAGATTCTGGGTAGATCTTAAATGAGTTTATTCTCGAAATGTTACATAGGCTTTACTTTGATTTTAGCCAGGCTTTAAGTCATCTTATTCCGATGTTATATCGATCTAGAACAGAAGGATAGATTTTAACTAGATGTAAATGAGGCTTCAATTGAGTTGAACTAGATTCCACCCAGACGGAAAGTCGGCTTTAAGTGTTTTTTGGATGTTAACATGGTTTGACTCAGATGTTAATTGTTCATATTTTAACCTACTAGGTTCACAGTGGAAACCATATGGGGATCCCATATAACTTTTTTGCAATAATGAACCACCCGCCCCCCCCCCCCTACTTGCAATAAATTCTCCGGTTGGCTTTTTCATTGGGGGGACTGTCGCTTATTACTAGGGGAGCGGTTTAACAAAGATAGACCCAATAATGGCAATGGAGCATCACATGGAAAGAACGTGACAAGTGAAATGACTGGGACTCTATAGTTGATTTTAAGTCTGATAGCATGCAGTGCTTGCTGGAGGCCTCCAAGTCTTTGGAAACTCTAATTCCCGCATTGTTATAGGGTTTAGGGTTTAGGGTATTTCCCTGTTCTTTCCGTTTTGATTTCTATTGCTGTAGAATCCCCAAGGCCCCAATGCCACAATATGTAGCTATAAGCCCCAGGTTCCATACTTTTCCATTTGATTCTGCATTACCCTAAACCCTTCTACTTGCTTGGAGATTTTGAAGCGAGCAGGCCAGATGTGGCAAGATAAAGAACAGACTGGGGGTTAGTCGGGAACAAGGGATTCTGTTATATAGGGATTATATGGGGATTATGTAGGGATTATCGAGCCATGACAGATTTCCTTTGCCCACCCAACCTCTGCCCCGAAAGGACAGAAGTGAGCAAATCTGGGTTGCTTGTAAGGAAGTTAATTAAATAATCTAAGTTACCATAGCATGGGCGAGTATATCACAACAAAATCATTGGTTTTCCTTATTACACTAGTTTTTCAAAAGTTCCTTAACAGCAACCCACAAATGTTGCCCTCCTCAGCCTAGCATCGTGCGAATGATGTATCCGAGTACCGTCCGGCAGACAAATATGTAGAAGACATCACCTTGACCGAGCTAAGCCAAGGGAGATGCCTTTTTGGAAGCATTTTTGGGATTGACAAGCACGGTGTTTGTAGGCCTCTTAGACCTAAATGACTCTTGAAGTGATTTCCCAGGGCTAAAACTGTAAGAAACATGAAAAGTTAATGCCTAAAGAGACTACAGGTCAGAGGAGTTCTGTAGTTTGATACAAGGAGGGATGTAAGAAACCTCTGGGCTCAGCACTTCTCAAGCCTCCGAATGCCTTGTGGAGTGGCCCCCTGTTATCGGGACAGCTTCGTTTTGAGGGCTTGCGATGAAGAGCACCGAATACCGGGGCAGTGAAAACTCGTGCAAAAGAGGAATGACATCAAGGATAACAAGTCAACGGCCCATACTTTCTACCCCAAACCCTAAACGCATCGCAACCTGACAGAAATCGCTCGTCAGGAGTAGACAGCATACGTGATCACTACCAAAATGACTCCCTGGGTAGACTCCATTTGAGCGTCCTCCCTTCTACACTGGACGTGAAACCAGGCTGGCTTCCGCAATAGTCTGAACACAGAAGCGATTGTCAGTAACTTTTTCTTACCCCCTTCAGACCTCCTTTCGTCCAACTTCCACTGCACAAACAAATCAATCATGGCTACACAAGTAACCGGAACACATAAACATAGTATGAATAATAGCATCAATACTAATATAAATACTAATGGTGAAAATTCTAATCGGAATTATTCCAATAGCAATAAGCATACTAATCGAAACACTAATGATAGTACAAATAATAATAGTGATAATATGGTGGTTCTCCGGTCCCTTGCTGTGGCTTCTTTGTCAAAACCTCCCGACACTCTACATTTGGGTAATTGTGAAATATGCTTGTTTCCACGGCCAGTG